ATTATTATTTATTGTTTATTATGAAAGGATATGTATAAATGAATCGTGAATAGGGCTTATATTTGATTCTTAAATCAGAATAAACTGTATTGCAAAATAACATGAAATTCGTGTTCTACAATGTCTTCTTAAACGTTTTGCAACTTCTTTAAGCTTTCTCGATATTTTCCCACCTCCCTTTTGAATTTAAAATTCTAATATTCTTAAATGTACTTTTGTCAATAATCGACTTTGCTTAAATTCACATCTTTTTATAACGAGAGCAACCTTAACTTTTGAATAATCGCAATTCAAAGTCTTCTAACAATAAACTTTTATCATATACAAATTGCTGCAACCAAAACATAATAACTGTAATCAAACAATTTATCTTAGTGATAATCTGCCCAACTCTGCAAGAACAGCAAAATTTTGGGGGCATATTAACTTACAGTGATAGTAACACTCTTAGTATTTTTAGGGATGTCAATTCTCATGCTGATGTCTCCAAATTCATTACTACTTATTTCCAGCTCATCGTCTCCTGGTGAAAACATGAAAGGCTCTCCATCAAGTGTGACTGAGACAACCGCCGGTGTTTGGACTGCTGGCTTGTTGTTTGCTTGAAGTAATTTCACCTTGAAAAACCAAAAGAAAACATGGAAACAATTTATTTAATAATTTACATTTCGTATATTATAAAAGGTAATGCATAAGTGTGTATCACATAATTTCTGAGATCAATGTCTTTATTAACAGGGTGCAAGACTAGGTTAGATTAGAATATTATTTATGTAAGTAAATCGCACAGAAAAAAATCCAGCAAAGAGTGTGAATGTAGATCTTGATTTGGAGTGCGAAAGCCACCAAGGATAAACCACAAAAGTCAGAATATTTATTTCACTTGTGTCCTTCTGGTGATGAACTGGGCAATACACCGGACACAATTCCTTCCTACTCTTTAGCGAAATTCTTTAACGTTCACATGTCCTATTGTACATGGGGCCAAATTTGAACGTCTCAGCCGATAGTGCTCACTCATCTCCATTTTGTTGCTTTAACATATCCAATGATATTGTATCTCTTTTCTCTTACGTAAACTAAATGTACTTGAAAATATGAAATATTAAACACTTAGACATACTGTACATTGAAATAAAATAAATAGTACCTTCCCGCTATAAGGCAAGCCTGGCTTGAAGTATTTCAACATATTCATCGTTTGTAATTTGTAAGCTATGAAGGTAAATGGAGCGCTGGTGTCAATGCATTTTTCAACCTTCCCATCACTGGACTTCACTATGGCTTCCAGGTACAGTTTCTTCCCATCTAATTCTCGAAATTCGTTTCCAATTATTTCAGCCAGAGAAACACTTTGGGAAAACGAATCCTTTCCATGTAGGCCTACCTATAGTAGTGAAGTTATTATAGATATTATATTAATTACAATTATTGTACTAAAATAAGGTGGAGCAAAAATTAGGTCTGAGTTGGCAATTGTTTTTATAGATGTTTGCCTTCTAATCCCAGGGTCCTGGGTTCAATGTGACAGCAGGACTTTTTCTCACGACTCAAAAACAACTCCACCACTCCCTAAGCCTCGTAAAGAGACTTCCTGGTAAAACCATCACATTATTGTATTTCATTTATTTAAAGATCCCCCTCTATAAATATAGTTAAAAGGTGAGACACTTAAAAAAAATGATAGGCTAAATCTGCATTCCCTTTGGAGCCGAACAGAAATTGGGATCGTTTCCGATGCGTTGAACGATTTACTGATTCGATTTTCTGATCGGTTCGTTGGGCTTTCCGATCCGAAAATTCGGTGTGATTGAGCTCTATTTTTATAGATGATTGTTGATTCGGTAACCGGGTGCCCCATGTATACTCTGGGTGGAAAGATAAGGTAAAATGCCTTGTCCAAAAAAAAAAAAAAAAAAAAAGCGGAATGCACAGCGAAGGTTCAAACCTTGACCTCGAGGTTGAGAAAGCGAAATGCAACCGCTGCGGCATACTTTACTTTACATATAATAATTTATTTAAATGTTATAATTTACTTACGTCACCACTGAATTTTCGCATTACAACTGTTTCGCCATTTGCATCTATGTATCCCACATTGAGATTGTAAATTCCTTGCACGGCTTCGCCATAGATATACCTATATATATATATATATATATGTGTGTGTGTGTGTTTTTAATGTAAAGCAATCAAATTCAGCCATTGGCTGCTGATTGCTAATCTTATACCGGAATAAATAAATAAATAAATACCTGTTACATAACAAATAGCAGTAATAATAATAAATATAATACAAATGATGATAACATTACTACTGATAATTATAATACTTCTAATAACGTTAAATAATAATAATAATAATAATAACATTAATAATAATAATTTTGTCAAATGTATAAAGCGACTAGTCAACCGAAACACATACCAGAAGGTTACCACTCAGAAATAAAAACTTAAGTAAGAGAATCGCTAAAGAATTAAAATGCAAGAGATATGCCTATCTTTCTTTTTTGGAAACCAAACCTTTTTTTCTATTAATATGTTTCAATATAGCAATATAATGTCTTATTACTTACTTAGCTTCCATTTCAATTAGGAACCGAGTTGTTGATGGTAACACATACGCTGGTTTTACTTTAAATTTTACCGTAAAAGTTGGAAGAACTAAAAAAAAAAAAGTCATTCAAATATGGAATTCACTTCCCTTTCCAATTATTTAAGAAGAAATGTAAGAATATTATAATGAAATGTTAACATGAAGTGATGTTTAATTAAGCCAAATAAAAAAAAAAATCTGTTGGTCACGCTCGACCGACCTAAAATGTACGTAATTGTGGTTCGGCATTTTAGTTTTTACAATGAGAAATATTTCGTTTAATTAGCTAAAAAGGCTGGAATAAGCCTATCTTGCTGGACGGTAGGAGGTGTGATGCGATCGCTTTACTTTAAAATATAGATTTAAACAGGTCTTTGTTGTTTAATGTGTATTTTCTACTTTTTAGGCATAAACATATTTTTGGTAAAAAAATCATAAAGACCTACCCATTTCTTGGATTTCCCTAAACCGTGGCCAACACAAGAATTTTTTTTTGGCCTTATAGTCTTTACATTTATTGTATTGTATAAATGTTTGATTAATTGCTTGGTGTTTTATCCTTGAATATCATTTGTTGTATTCTGAATAAAGTAATTTAAAGAAAATAAAAATAGAAAATGGTTGAGATGGAAGTAAATACGTTATCACTGATTTACAGACCTTTTCACAATATATTTGTAAATAGATTACTAGCCAATTTTAGGATCAACGCAAAGAATGCCTATATTCAATTTAAGGGTCTATGCAAATATAGAGGACGCTTAATTAATATGTTATTGTAATTTTATATTGAAAGCTTATAACATACATAAAAATACAACATATGCCTAAGCAATTGCCATAATATTTAGTTTGGGGCGGGGGATATGTGGTCCGACACAAGGGTCAGACAATTTCAGCCGGGTTCAACAGGTTAAGCCCTGTTGGGTCTAGGAACAATCCTCCGCTGCCTAAAGAAACTAGGCAAATACGTTTACTTTAAGCTGTTCTAGAACGTTTTAGAACTAAACGTATTTTACAAAAAATAAATATTGATTTGGTCCCCCCACCCCGAGGCGCAACTGCTGACACAGCGACAGTTCATTTTTTATCGCGGACTAAGATCATATTATGTAAGGAACTTACCATATTCTTTTACTTCAAACTTAACTGTTGACTCCAATTTATACTAATATTAAAACAAAATAATAGTTTAAAATAC